CAAATTGTTGCAGAAATTTCTTAAACCCAGTGTGAGACTTTCTAAATGTATTTAACAAAGATAAAGGACAACACTCAGATTTGAAGACTGCAAACTGATTAGAAAAGATTTAAAAGGGAGGGCAGCAGGAGAGAAGTGTGAAATGCATCTCTGTATTAATTGTGACATTAATTGTGCCAACCGTTTGCACTTCTTATTGCATTACTTTGAAAAACCAAGCATATATTATTCAGTGAAGTGCATGTACAAACATACCATATTTGAGAATGACTATAAATGAGCCTGAAAGCACTTTATTTTAGTAAACTAAGTGAGACGGGTTGTGTGGACTTATTGTTGTACTGTTGTGAGAGGCTGTGGAGCATTTTTGTGTTTGTTTCGATTATTAGCTTATAATTTACTGTTCGGGCCAACTTGGATCAAATTCCACAGTTTGTGGCCCATGAGCAAATATAAGTTTGAGACCTCTAGCTTAGTGTGCTGCAAACATTATTACATATATACATTGTAAGCTTGGTGTAAAATGATAGATGAAAGGTGTCAGTTCACTTCAGGTAATGGATCTGTGGATGTGTCAGGTTTCATAGCAGCTTGTTAAAAAAAACAAATGTGTAAAATTGCCTCAAAAAGGTCAGAGTCAGTCTGATTTATTCTTTGGAGAGTATGGATATCTGCTTTTTTTATGGAGCTACAGTCTGAGTAGACAACCAGCCCCTTTACGTAATTTAAATATAACTCAACAATTTTCCAAGTTGAACAAATGGAGCAATTCACAGTATGGCCTTCCAAAAATCAAAATCTGCCACTGTTTTCGTCAAGTCTCCCACTTGTTTTCGCTCTTACCTAATTAAAACTCCCTATTTGTCTTGTTCATACAAGACTATTTTTACTTTTTAGAGTTGTAAATGTAGGCACAAATAGTATGATAAGCAAAGTTAAATGAACAGCTTGACTTTCTGTCTATTTTTGGTTGTTTCACAGCTTGGTGGAGTCTCCCCCACCACCATTGCCCCCGAGATTGTTGACGTTTATTTAATACAGTTATAGTCTCCTACTGATACATTTACACTAATCCTCTGAGGCACAGATTGACAAGTCCTTCCCCACCCTGCTCAGCCTTCTCCCTCCCTCTTTCATATCCTTCCACCACTCTCACACTCAGTCAGTGTCTATTACAGGCAGGAGGTATGTTGGCGGTAAGCTGCAGATGCCTGCTGGCATACTGCTGCCTAACGAGCACTAACTCATGTTAATGAACACTAATGGTGATGAATGCCACTCTGAAGGAGAAGCAGAAATGAGAGAGGCAAATAGTTCTCCTTTTCTCGTGCCCTCAGACCCGTTCCCCTCTGCAGTGTTTCGAGGACACAATTACAGCAGCGCATTAACATCATTCAAGCTGTCCATCATCTCGGAGAGAAAGACTCAACGTGTAAGGCAATAGAAGTCCAATCAGTTCATCTCATGAATGTTCCAGCCGCTGTCACTTGGATTGTGTTTTCAGTGGTTTGAAGATAAAGTCAAATTCATCCACAAATGATTTCTTGTATGTGCGCTGCATCTTAAACATCTGGCTGTTTCAGAGTTACTCAGGTGTTTCACGCCGTCCTGGCAAGCGCTATCAATCAGTGGTTTGTTTATATAATACACAATGGCAAGTAACGCAAGTCTTTATTTTTGCAGAACTACACAACCCATTTAGTAAGATGATGAATGCCTTCTTGTCAGAAGGGGTGCTTCAGGGAGACTATAAAAGTCTATTTAGACCTCTGCTGCAAATTATTTGTCTGGGCTTGTGTTTTAAATAGCACCCTGGCTCCTGTGGTGCCATCATTCAGGAGTAAGATCATTTGCTCTTTGTGGGAATTAGAGTGTCCAATCAAAATTATTCACTCCTGTCTGTTTGTCTGTTAACCATCTAGTCATGAGAGATTTCTCCTCATCATTAACATCTGGGGCTAACAAAAAAGTTGGTCTTAAAATAGATATTCAGTTATTATTAGACCATTATAACAGCATGAGGTCAGGGCAAAATCAATAAACATTGGTAGGTTAACATTTATGCTTTTTCTTTTGCAAGTCTATATTTTTATTCTGGGATTCCTCCAAAGAAACTTTGCATAATTCATAGTTTTAAAAACGTCTCACAGCCTCTCAGTTAATCATCTGTCCTAAACAGAGATGTTTTAACTTCTCTCTCTTAAATGTCCGCTTTCTAAGTAGCTGCAACAGAGGCAAACTAACTGTAAGTGTTCGTAAGACCTATTTTCTCTTTGTTAAAACAAAATCCATACTTGGATTTACACACTGCAGTCGCTTCAACACTTTTTCTACCTGAAGGGAAGCGTCTGTCAGTGAAATGGTTACATGGCTGCTTAGATACATAAAATAAGTAAGTTTACTTAACAGTTCTATCTAACATAGCCTCATTAACTTTCTGTTACAGTTACCAGTTTTACACATGTACAGTAAGCTGTGTATTAATTCAAGAAATTTCATTTACATAGCGCCAATTCACAGCAGCAGTTGCCTCAAAGCCCTTTATATTCTAGGATTAAAAGCTCTACAATATTAGAAAGAAACCCCGAAAATCAAAAT